TTCGTGCGTTCGTTCTTGGCTCGTTTACAAGTTCGTGCGTTCGTTCTTCGCTCGTTTACAAGTTCGTGCGTTCGTTCCTCGCTCGTTTACAAGTTCGTGCGTTCGTTTTTCGCTCGTTTACAAGTTCGTTCATTCGTTCTTCGCTCGTTTACAAGTTCGTACGTTCGTTCTTCGCTCGATTTTTAGTCGTATATATCAACTCGTCGTTTCGCTCGCTTAACAATCGTTTGCTCGTTTTCATACTCACATTCTACCAGCTTGCTTATGACTGTAGTTTTACCACTGAAGAATTTTCCCAGAAAGCAGGCCTTGATAGGGAATGGTGGGAATTCCGGTGGGGGTGGTGGTGGCTGTCGAGATAATGCATATGYATGAATGACACCTAAGAGCATGCGCAAAAAGTAATCCCACATGGCTCAATGCCAACTGACATCTCTAGTGAAAACAAGTTTGACTGTGATATCATCTTTACCTCTGGGGGAGAGACTATATTGAACAGCCTTTGTATAATGTGACCAAGCACGGCGTTATCTTTAGGAGGACCAGGGATTTCCGAGCCTTCTATTGGTAGCCATTCTCCTATTAGGTTCTGATTATGAAATGCAATGATTTCATCAACAAATGAACAGAAGCAACAGGAATGACAACAACAACAACAACAACAACAACAGGAATAACAACAACAACAACAACGACAACAACAACAACAGGAATGACAACAACAACAATAACAACAACAACAACAACAACAACAACAAAAATATCCGACCTTGTATTCCATGAAGTCGCCTTCATCAAGTAATTTTTCTTTCTCGTTTTTGATTTCTTGTTCTTTTTGGATTTCTTCAAGGGTTGGTTCCCCCTCCTGTGTGAATTGAATTAGAATCAATATATATAGCAATTATCGATTGATATTGTATCGATTTATTCAACTTACTTTGACTTCAAATAAAGGCAATCCATTGATGAATAAGTCCTTCCACTCACGGAAAAGCTTAGCAGGAACTAATCTACAAAACAACAAAATTCATATAGTGACATGTAGCACAATCAAAATAAAATGCATTCCTTTTTAGATTTTCATGTTGTTCTTCCTTACTTCACACACTCCTTTTCATTCATCATTCCATCCACATTCTCATTTATTCTTACTTTTCAGTAAGTTCTCTATACTCTCCGACTTTGCAGGCAAAGTTCACGACCTCTGACAAGATCTATTGAAAAGAAAAATGACATCAAATGAGAARACGACAATATTATGATTCTGATTCAATTAATGATGATTACTATGATGATGATAATGCTATGAATAATGATACTGATACAAAGGGCAGGCTATGCTAGTATTATCGTCGTACCTCTGAGACAGTTTGGTAATGTTTGTTGTATTTGTTCCGTGCACGCTCTGCTGCAAGACGATCATGGAGTTCTTGAGCCATTCGTGTTTCTTCAGCGTATTCTAGTTTAGCTTGTCGACACATTTCCTAAAYATACATCATACATATTGTTATCAGAGCAAGCCGTTTATTGTATCTACTRCTWTRACATGAGTGAGACACTTCCCAATACAAGAATGTCTTAGTATCCTTTACTAACCGCCTCACGTTCTAGAGCATCATCGAAGTCTTTCAATCTCCTCTCTGCATATTGCTTCTCACGGAATATTCTGCAATCAAGATATGTTATCAAAATCATTAGTATAAACATATTAATGGTCTATCACTCATACTGCGGATTGATCGCGGACTCGGCCTCATGGGCTAATAGCTCGTAGTCCA